CTTTCTTTGAAAACAACGTCCAAAAGTGTCCTAATACAACCCACGCATCCATCCGTGCATGCAAGGAATGCAATTTAATTTATTGTGCATCATTTAAACAGACCTTCAACGCACATCCATCCATACAAATCCATGCATCTGCAATTCATTCTTTCCAGCGTTTCCCATTACACAACACAAGCCTGACGTACGAAAGCATGGTGGCCTTGTAAATATTATCAATATCAAAAAGTAGATAATATAAATAGATTTAAAGTATTTCAAACTTTTATATATATATATATATATATATATATATATATATATATATATATATATTGTAACTACGCTTTAGACAGACATTCTGCCTCAGTCCGAATCACGAAGTCATAAAACAAGTTTCCTCACGCTTGTATTGTTTTTTACACGAAGGACTCCTTTCAGTGGGAATTCAACTCATGATCTGTCAGTGACAGCAACAATAACAACACAACATCAACAACACAACAACAACAACAACAAAAACAACATCATCAACATCAACATCATCAACAACAACATCAACAACAACAACACAACAACAACACAATAGCAACAACAATGCAACAACATCATAGCAGCAACATTGCAACATCAACAATGAATCTATCATCAATAACATCGAAGCAGCAGCACATCCATGCAATGCATTCTGCAGTGTCGTTAATTAATTCTTGCGCGTCAAAGCCAATCAGAACAAACAATGCTAGTCATCCTCCAAATGTTTTTCCTCATCAGTGATTGCCAACAGAATAAAAGAAAAATTTGAATCTGAAAAAATTTTGAAAATACAATACGAGCAGAGTTTCCAACAACGACAACAACAACAACGACAACAACGACAACGACAACAACAACAATGATACAACATTTGCGAAATTCAAACCTTCGACTAAGTAAATCTCTGATGTGCTAATGAATTGTTTCCTGAACTGGTTTAATTAAAAAAGAAGATTGCTTCACTAAAAATTTATTCAACGAAAAGTTGCATTAGTTTCAAAGATGTTCGGACGGACTTCAAGCGTTTGGTGGTTGACAGCCAGGGTCAGAGGAGTTTGTTGGCACGTTGGCAATTCCATCGCTCCTATCAATTTACAATGTTTAACATAGCTGATGAACAAGCAAACAAACATACAAGCAAACAAACAAACAAGCAAACAAACATACAAGCAAACAAACAAACAAGCAAACAAACATACAAGCAAACAAACAAACAAGCAAACAAACAAACAAACGGTGTTTAATTAATTTTCACTTAAATGTATATTGATGGCCAAACTCGATAATTTTTTATAAATTTTATTTTAGTCAGTCCTGCAAGTTATTTTCCACGAAACCTTCTTGCCGAACAAAATTTCATTTCGTTTCGTTTTCTAAGTGCATGTGAGTGTTCTTATGGAAGAGAGAATGTTTGTGTATTCAATTTTGTGTGCTAATGTTTACATATTGATTATCTTTTTTTTATAAAATTACAACAAGTTTCAAGTGTTGTCTATAAATTAAATCAGTAAAATCTAACAAAAATTCAATTAACTACACAATGATAGAAAAGTAAAAATAACTCATATAAGATAACCTCCAACAAATAACTTCAAAAAAATTACGGTTGTGGTGGTTGTGCTGGCAAAGTGGTGGTGTTGTGGTGGTAGTGGTGGATGTTTTGGTTATGTTTGTGGTAGTGGTGGTTGTAGTGGTGGATGGCAAATCAAATCTCTTCATTTTGTTAGTCATGTAGCAACTGAAAAGTTTCCCTTTGATTTGAGTTGGATGTTGAACGAGCGAGTGTTTGCATGCTTGCAGGGTCACGTCCCAAGCTGCTTCTGCGACTGACAGAGGCCTGGAGATGTCAGTTCATCGGAGGAAACACTTCAAATGATCGCACGAACCTAAGAAAATATGTTTGCCACTTGTCTCTCGCGTGGTCGATTGTTGGACACTCTTCAAATTCATCATTGACCATTACATTCTTAAAACAGATCGCATAATCAGTAGAACGGTATTTCATAGAAACTAAAGAATGTTTGTTTCTGTTTCAATACTTTTTCTAAATTTATTGCAATATGCAAACATCATTCCTTTAAAAATACCATTCTGTAAATGTAAAAATATTCTGCATATCTGAACGACTTATATGTGTGTATTGTAATTATTGTATGGGTTGAGAAGGCCCGCCGATGTTTAAGAGACGCATTGAGATGTGTGGAGAAAAAACCAGGAGAATTCAGATCAGAGAGGTCTCATAAACCAGTCAACTACCTTCTTTATCGCGGGGAATCTTGGACGATTAAATTTTTTTACTTTACGTTTTTGTGTTTGTTTACAAGCTGGATGGAGACTTGCTTATGCGTGCATACATTAATTCGCGAAGTATGGAAGTTGTTTGTTGCTGCTCTGCAAACAATTGAAAATTATTTGCTTTTAAAACCTTGAAACGGTTTTAAAAATAATTGAATATTTTTCTCTATTGTTAATTTGCGCATCTCCATGGCCGACTTGTGTTGGTTCTGATTTGGAGGAAGCATGACTCCTGACAGCCTGTCCATTTGGTTTGAAATTTACTGAACCAGTTGCCAATATGTAAGAGAAGTTAATAAAGTAAAAATAATTTATTTTGTACACACATCTTGAATCACACGTTATGAAAGTTTTGAGTAGGAAGATTAACAATCTTGGCTACTTTTATTTATCTGAATTCAATTAAATAAAACGTTTTTTGTTAGACCAATTCATTGAAACGCGATGAAATTGATAGTTTTAGCAAAAATAATTTAAAATGTTTGATACATTCAAGACAAGCCAAAGCATTCCATTAATGATGTCCATACCACTTGCTTTGTAATGATAAGAAAATTTTTATGACCGCAATGAAGATGAAACCATGCTGTGATTTTTTTTATGAAAGTTTCAAAACTTCTCAACTACTCCTGCACGAGTTTATTTTTAAACTACAGAAATTTAAAACTGAAAACGAACCAGCACCAAAGCTGAGTCAGTAATTTTTTGTAGAAAGGAGATTGAAGTTGTTGAAGGAAGAAGAGCAAGGGGATCATTTTTGCTTGACACACAATTTTTTGCTTCTTTTGTTAATAAAACCAGTTTTTCTACAAAATTACCATATTTTTCATCATTGTTGGGAGAAAGTTGGAAACAATTTCCAATCCAAATTTGAACAGATTTAAATAGAGCTGACCCCTCACTAATGTTAGTGGCTGCCAAAAAAACAAATGCATAATACAATACTTGATTCAATGCAAAAATTTACTTACAAATGTTTGAACACATTTACTTCATCGCACTTCATTTAAATACAAATTTGAGGCTACCACCTTCTGAGTAATTTATCTTCCTATAACCATCACGTCAATTAAAAATTTTAAATATTGTATTATGTAAATTTTAAAAAATTTATTAAATTTTTGGAGAAATTAACATTTGTTGAAAGCCGTAAGAAAGAAATAATTTTTAACGAAACTTGAGGAGACAGTAGGCTGTGGATGGATTGCCTTCCAAGCCTAGTGTCGCTCGCTAACAAGTATTTTGACCGTCAACATTCCCTTATTCACAAATATTTTTTACAAATATTTTTTATTTATTCGTTAAATATTATTTATTCAATTTCAAGCAAAATTATTTTATTTACATCTCTGCAGAAACTTCATGACTTGAAAATTGAGTTTGAAAACTTTTATGATCCAATCAAATTTATTTATCTCCATTTTTTTAACCTATCAAATTTTTTTTACAAAGCCTTCAAACAAGCTCATGCAAAAGTTAATAATTCTCAATGAAGTTTTATAAAAACACAATATTAAATTTTTTTAATTAAATTAATTTGTTTTGGGAACTAATTTAAAACTTGAAGCGGATTCATTTGTTGATGACGTTAATGCAATATGACATTTCTTCTTCTGTTGAGGTTTCAAGCTTTCGTGGTGCAGACAACTGCTTTCAATGGGCCTTCCAAGTGTGAATAACCGAACGTAAATAAGATATGAATTATTAAATGTTTGAAACAAACACTGTTAAATTATTAGTTATTACTAACAGTTATATTATTAAATATTAGAAATTACTAAAATACAAATACTAGATTAATTGATTACTCATTATTAAAAGCACAAACACACACGTATAAACCTACACACACACACACGCACACAACACACGTACACATATAAGCACATACAAACATATTCACTAAAACACTTAAATAACCAAACAATCACATTTGCATTTGACAGGGACAATAAACGCAAGTCTGCAAATTTCCAAATAAAAAATTTATTTTTCAAAAAGAAGGAAACATAAAAAGTTCATTATCATCTAATTTATTCATTAATTTCAGCGTTATATCATTTGTGTGATTGTCTGTCTGTCTGCTTGTCTATCTGTCTGCATGTGTTTCTGTTTGTCTGTCTGTCTGCATGTGTTTCTTTTTGTCTGTCTGTCTGTCTGTCTGCATGTGTTTCTTTTTGTCTGTCTGTCTGTTTGTCTGTCTGCTTGTCTGTTTGTTTGTCTGTCTGCATGTGTTTCTGTTTGGTATGGCTTGCAAAAACATGAAACATGCGGACAATTTTGTTTGAACAGAAACTGAATGCAGACGAAATAAAAAAAACTGACGTGTCTGCTTGTTAAATGCACTGTTGCAGCATTACACTCTCCGCCTCAGTTTGGCTGACGACGAAACTCCGCACAGGCAACTGCAAACACTGTCCAACCGAACTTTCATTAGAAAAAGTTGAATAACACGAAACATAATAACTGCTTAAATAATTAAGTTTCATTGCAACAAAATCAAAAACTTCAAGCAAAGCTGCATACAACTAAACAAAAATCAATACAATTTGATCAAATATAAAAATACGCCAACAACACCAACAACAACAGCAACAGCATCAAAAACACCGTCAAAAACAACAATAATAATAATAATAACAACAACCACAACAACATCATTAACAACAACATCAAACTACGCCAACATGACTGATAAACGTTATCTCATGTAACCACTTCATGTTATGAAGTGCAAAATAGATCGTATCATAAGGCGAGAAAACAATGTTCTCTGTGTGTGTGTGTGTGTGTATGTGTGTTCTTTGTGTGTGTGTGTTGTGTGTGTGGTATGTGGTGTGTGTGTGGTGTGTGGTGTGTGTGTGTGGTGTGTGGTATGTGGTGTGTGTGTGTGTGGTATGTGGTGTGTGTGTGTGTGTGTGGTATGTGGTGTGTGTGTGGTGTGTGTGGATGTGCGGTCATTAAATTAAACTTTCGTGCCACAAAGGCTGAACACTATTCACACCCCACGACGCACATCCACATCACGTATGCACGCGTCTTTAAGTTTCGGACGGAGTGTATTCGAACCAGTCCAACGCGTGATCTTACCGACTGAGCCAAATCATCCTCATCATCGTCACAACTCTCATCACCATCCAAGTGCCCATCGTCATTGTGGACAGCTATGCAACCACCACCACCACCACGAACCTATTCGTGAATGTCACCATGAATCATCATCACCATCATCATCACCATCATCATCATCATCATCACCATCATCATCATCACCATCATCATCATCACCATCATCGTCAACATCATCATCGTCATCACATCATCACCATGAATGTTTTCGTAACAAAAACAAGAACATCCCTTCCATTCATTCATTTCTCATTCCATTCATTCATTCATTTGGTATTTGTTATGCTCACAAGAGTAAAAAATTAAAGGATCATAGCGGATCAACATGATGCTTCCAATCCGAGGTTTCCTTCGCTTCACTCCACCTACCACGCTTTCAATCCTTCATCGATTAATTTTTTTTACAATTTGAACAAGCGGCCTCATGGGCTCACTGATTTCTCACACAATCAACCCACGAGAAACGACGAACGAACGCACGCAAATTCGCTCGCAAATTGAGTGCTACAAAAATTTCTAGCCCTACATTCTGTTTGACACTTTTGAACATTTTAAACTCAACTTGGATAACTGTTTAGGATGAAAGTGAATAAATTGCTATTATTCAGAATTGTATACATCGAAAAGCGAGCTTGATTAATTACGATATACAAACAAATGTACGTGCCTTCATATTCGAAGCGATAAAAAAGAATATATAAATATACGTATGTGTATCCATGCAACTATGTAATATTCATATTTATCTTATAACACATAAATGAAATAATACTATTATATGCATACATACACATGTATATATGTGTGTGTCTTTGTGTGTCTGTGTGTCTTTGTTTGTTTGTGTTTTTTGTGTGTGTCTGTATGCGTATGTGTTTGAAGATAGTTACTTTTAAAGACACGTGTTGCTACAGTTCATCATAATGTTGATGAATGATGGAGAAGTCGTGGCGTGGATGAGTGCGTGTGCATGTCCTTTTTTCAAATCTTTCTTTCAAATCTTTCTTTCAATTTCACTGCCGTTTTCAAAGGCAACCTAACAAACACACAAGTAGCATTTTCAGCTAAAGCAGGGGCGGGCAAACTACGGCCCGCAAAGCTACTTTATGCGGCGGCCCGCGAGGCCATGTTCGACCAAAAAAAAGAAAGTTCGTCAGCCAGACATTATGAGCAAAAAAAGGCACAAATCTTAAAAAAAATTCTCCCTCGGGTCAAAAAAAAAGTTTCCGTTTAAGCACATATGAGGCCCTTAAATTGTAAAATAGTTCTCAATGCGGCCCTCACAGCAAAAAGTTTGCCCACCCTTGAGATAAAGCAATGATTTATGTGGTTTTTCCCTGGTATTTCGCTTTCTAATGTTGAACATTTTGAATGTTATTCAAAATGTTATAGCGTTACATATTTTCGTTATGAATAAAATTTGTTTTTAGTTTCTTTCTCGCCAACAAATCTTTACACCATTTTGTTTGCTCATGTTCATGATGTGTGTTGATATTGACATATTTATTTACATTTCTTTATTATTCTTTAAACTTTAAGATATATTTTTATTCATGTTTTAATTGTTATTCACATTAATTATTTTCACTTAACAAAACATTTAATTAATACTGTCTTTAATAGTAGAAGGTTGCTTCCAAATATTTAATTTGATTTCTTATTTTACTGACATGTTCAACAAATAATGGTATAATGCTTATGAAGATACCATCTGGAATGCAGTCGTGCTTGCCGTTGTTGCGTTAGCACCTACAAATTGCAATCTCTAATTTTGTCTCCCTTTAAATTAATCAATTACATAAATAATATATCTGTGTGTGGATTTTTTGCACGCCTTACAACAATCAGACATTCAACCAGACATGCAACCAGACACACAACCAGACACGCAACCAGACACACAATCTGACACACAACCTGACACACAACCAGACACGCAACCAGACACGCAACCTGACATTCAACCAGACATACAACCTGACAGTTCCATACAACTCACACTACCGTAAGAACTTATATTTTTTATTGATCGCTATCTTTGAATGTATTGAGTGAATAGGTGGGGTGATGGTAATGATGATGGATCGATCAGACATCTCAACACTGCTCTTTATTTCTCATGTTCTTCACATTGCACTCCAGCACGTCGGCATTCAGGTGAGTCGCTAACGCTTGTGGTATGCAGCAAGTCTGGGAAGCAATTACTAGCAAGGTGTGTGTTTGCTTAAGCTGGAAGCCAACTGTCAACCAGCAACATTCCATGAATCTCTCAATGTTTTGTCATTCAGTCATTCATACTCATCAGACCGGTACAAGGGTACAAGGGCTTGTCAAAAATGCAAATTTTTTGCCTCAAAACTGCAACAAATTTTCAAAGTGTAAAAAAATATTAATAATTTATCCTACTAAAAAAAAAATTAACAATAATATTAATAATAATAAGAAGAAAAAGAACGGATAGTAATTAACAACCCAATCACCAAAATAAGAATTTAAATGAAATGTACCAAAACTTTTCACTCGCGCACTTTTCCAAAGTGAAAAGGTGTTAATGATCTGAAGTAGCACATTCAGCTGCCTTCTTGCGCATCAAAGTTCCACCATTGCAGGCTGAAGTGACCGAGGGACTTCTGCTCCACATGCTTCCAACAAGTGTTACTTCAATTCTTTACATTCTTTACAGACATTGAACGCTGAAGCTAATATTTGCTCGTTTAATTATTTTTTAAAATTAAATCAGATTGTTCAAGGATGGCCTCATTGTTGTTGCAAACACTTCCAAGCAGGTGTTTCCAGATCCAGAAATGTTTAGAAGGGAGAGAAGGTTGAACATTTGAAGTTTTTTGGATTACTTTGCTGCAGCTTAGTGTTTTAAATAAAATTTAAACAACTTTTCATGGTTGGCGAAGGTGATGCATGGTCTTATCCTCCAAAACCCAAAAATGTGCAGCTGTGCATGTGCAAGTGTGGACCTGTGTGTATGTTCGTAGATGTTTCGTCCAAGTGTTGAATAAACATTTGGAAGACACGTTTTTCTGTTTATTCCAGTGAAAGTTCCAATGCGTGCATGCAAATGTGCATTCTACTGAGTGTCCCAATGAAATATTTCGCAAATGGTGTGCAACGTGATGCCTTCTTATTTCAACCATCCAGCACCAATCATCATGCTCCGATGTTCATATAGAAGCAAACCACCCACAATCATCTTTGTTTAAACCACCTTATGCTATGTAATTAATAAAATACATTATCTCCTTACAAATATTCATGGTTGTTTGGAAATATTTTTTATATTGTTTTATTTTTATTTTATTATATTTTTATAACTTTTAGTTAGAATCATGTTTGAAGAGAAGGTTGATGACACGCCGTCTTTCCAGTCGAACATGCCCCTCGAAATCACCATCAGCCACCTTTCAATTATTACCTCCAAACATTCCCTGCCGATAAATTTGTGTGCACCCAAACATTCATGGGATATCCACCCTGTCATGTTGGCCCTCCGTTCAAACGCTGCAGAACCTCAATTAATTATTTTCATTCCGAAGCAGGCATGTTAAATATTGTTTCCATTCATTCATTTGAAACCTCGTAACTTATACACACATGTTTAACTAAGTTTGCATTTACAAAAATTAAATTTTTTTCATTTTTCACTTCGAAAAAACGTTGTACTTAAATTTATTCCACTCATCAATCTTTCTTTCAACGAAATTTCTACATCTCCAGTCAGGACTTTTTTTCTATTTCCAGAAACTCTTTTTAGTTTTTCGTGCATGCCAATTTTTTTTATCCAGAAAATCCCTTCAAGTTACGTTTTTGTAGCGATTTCAAAATAATTTACTTTAAATAAGTTTATTTAAAGTAATTTGCTCTTACTTTAAATAAGTTTATTTTAAAAAAGGTTTTTGATGATTTTGTAGTATTATAAATACGTATAACATTAAACTAAACATAAAATTATTTTTTATTCAATTGATAATATTTTAATTGCAATATTATGTCAGTAGGAGCGTGTTTTAGAAAGAATATAATGTTGAATAGTGGGTACCTTACTTATTCATGTGTGCTACAATAACACACTTGTTAGCGTTAATTAATATGTTAGCCATTAAAATAAAACTTGTATTTATATTCACATTAATGTGTATACTTGGGTTATATGAATTTTGAAACCATGATTTCGTTTAAGAGATTTGTTTAAAAATATTTTACTATTTAATAGATACAAGCTTGTTTGTTTGTGTGTGTGTGTGTGTGTGTGTGTGTGTGTGTGTGTGTGTGTGTGTGTGGGTGGGTGGGTGGGTGTGTGGGTGTGTGTGCGCGCGCGCATATACAATTATATTATTTATTTATTCATTTATCGGCCTCTTATACATAATCAATGTTTTTTTTTTATAATTTATTAGTTCGTTGAAATAATTATGAAGTGAATTAATTTTCGACTTAAAAAAGTTTTAACATAAAGATTATTAGAATGAATTTTTCGCTAAATTAACAAACATTCATTTTGTTAGATTTTTATATTTTATTTGAAGAAATTTCAAAGAAGACAATTAAGACCGATACATCAACTGACGACTTGAATGAAAACCACACCAGCAAAAACATGACAACTTACTTTTAGCTAAAATTTTTTGAAAATTGCATCACTATGTTCAACTTTTTTAGCACAAAAAACATGTTTATATCTAGTAAATGTCAAACGGCTTTATTTGAAAACCCAGAAGTTTGCACTTGTTCTGATACCTGCTAATTTGAGATTTAAAAAATGATGTTTACAAGAAAGCAACAAAATGTTCGACCATTTCATTTTCACCAATTCATTAAATTATTTCTTTCTTTTATTATATTTTATGCTATTTAATTAAAAGAAAATGTTTTTTACAAAGAACAAATAATAAAAAATTGTAATATAGAGGAAATTTGTGTGCAGAGAACTTATCAGCATTGGAGGACTGCCTCACAACCGCCTCAACAAACGATCAAACCATTGTTGCCAACCACAAATAAGGAACATCTAGCAACCCAATTAATTTTTGACTTGTTGTTGCATGCAGATAAAGAAGCACAGTTCATAACAACGCCGACAAATTATTCCTCGTCCGTCGGTCAGCATGAAGAAGCGAATGTTGGAAAGTTGCATGCAGTCCACCACACACTTTACCGTGCAATAAAATTCGGCTTTAAAAAATCGTTAAAATTTCTTGGGTTGTTTTATTTAATTATATTTTTAGTTCAAGATAGAAACTCCTCTACACTTTCTTCTCGCGAACGTATATAAGCAGTGTTTGAGGTGTGCAGGTGAGTGAGACAAGTGAGTTTTAGGTGAAAGTTGACGATATTTTTTACAATGTTTTCTATAAAAACTAGCGTTGCTGAAATTGCAAAAAAAAAGTTCATGGTCATTTTTATCCATTTTACAATTTAATGATCTCATTGAATGGTTCATTCAAAAACAAATTAAATTTTTTTGAACTTCAATACACACAAATTTTCATCAAAAACTTGTAGCAGCAAATTATTTCAACGTTACAAAATGGATCGCATAAACCTTTTTTAATCATTTATTTTTTTTTAGATCCAACTCCGTGAAACGCAGAGGATGTAGCAGCATGCATACAAGGTGTCACTAAGGAACTTCGACAATATGAATTATAATCCACAACTTGTGTCAGTAACGCATCAGATACTATCTTTATAATTAAAACATTTCAATTTCTTCAGATAGAATTTTGTTGAACGTTGTTTCTGTTTTAAAGTTGAAACTGGATGTCCCAATATGCATGTGATGTGACAGACTGGCTTCGTTGTCTTGTATACATGCTATTGTGAAATGCCGTTATCATTATGATTTAATTATTATATATATGTTATCATATTATTCATCACATTATTATGATTTTATTATGATTACTATTATTATTATTATGACATTATTATTATTTTATTATATCAACTATTGTTATAATTTTTATGATTTATGATATTTTTATGACAATTTTTATTTGCTCCCATCCAAATAGGCCTTATTCTAATGCCTCTATTAATTTGTTGTCAAGATCATGATTTTCATAAAAGTGTTTGATAACATTTTATATTTGTTTACATGTTTTTCAATACTAAGTTGCCTGTGTGTGTGTGTGTGTGTGTGTTTTGTGTGTGTATGTGTAGTGTGTCTGTGTTTGTGTGTGTTTGTGTTTGTGCATTCGTGTGTGTTGCGATTAATTCAATAAATTCAAATTTCAATTCATATTTAATTTATGAACTAAAAAAATTGTACAATATCTACTCTTTATTAATAGCGTTAATTCGTTAAAGCCCCGACGCTAACCAACCTTTCAAATGTAGAATAATGATGTGTCAATGTTGCAGGTAAGGTAAGGTACGATGTTTTTCGTGTTTGTAGGGGTCGTATGCAGGCAATACATCAGAGCACATTGTGAACATCGCATCTTCATTTAAGAAGATAGGAATGAGTTTTATACACGAGTGATATTAGGAGGTTATTTATTTTCTCAGCTGGTTGTATAAACACACCGCTTAACATTCCATGTGCCCGATGTAACCCTAGATAGTTCCAATATGATGAATAATGTTTCTATGTTAACTAACAGTGTACGTGTATGTGTGCGTGTGTGTGTGTGTGTGTGTGAGTGTGTGTGTGTGTGTGTGTATTTGTGTGTGAGTGTGTGTGTGTGTGTGTGTGTGTGTGTGTGTGTGTGTGTGTGTGTGTGTGTGTGTGTATGTGTGTGTGTGTGTGAATTATATTTTTATACACATGTTTGTTTTTTTGTTTAAATAAATATTTTTTTAATCCCAATCTTACAAGATGATTGATTGCATTTTTGACATGCGACAGCTGTTACCGAGAGTGCATGGGGCAGGGTGTTCGTGCGGGAGTGTATCCTGCAGTGGAGAAGGAAAGTGTTCCGCTGGGACAAATGTTGACGTTAAGAGGCAAAATGCTGCTTTGTTTTTATCTAATTAATATTATGGTCCATTTTCAAAAAATTAATTTCTCGCTGTCTCCGGCAAGTCACATGTCTGTCTGACTTTTGTCATCCGTCGGTCTGTCTGTCTGACTTTTTGTTTGTCTGTCTGTCTGTTTGTCGGTCTGTCTGTCTGTTGTCTGTCTGCAAAGATGTTGTTTGCGTGAGTGGTTGATGCTGTTTTAACTCCATTCCTTTCGTTGTTGTTGTATGACATCATCAACATAATTATTTGTATTATCGCTATTTTAATTCTTCATTTAATCATCTTTCACCGACTAACCACCACCATCAATCCAACATCATCACCATCATCATCATCGGCATCATCACCATCTGCATCAGCAGTCACCACATGTTTACAATTATCCCAACAACATTAAACGCCAACTGTTTAAAATTTATTAGTTGAATTTGAAATTTATAAAGTTTAGCCCCATGTGCAGAAAATCTTTCTTTGTTGTTCAGCCACTTCAAGCAAGCGAGCGAGCGAAGTTTTGTGACTTTTCAAGTTTGAAGGCAGGCAATTTCATTCGCATCTTCGTCATAAACACAAACATTTCTTAAAATGATGACACTGTTTTTCATTTAAGTTTGCTCATTTCATTCTTGTTTTCCGACGTTTTTTTGTAGAACTAATCTTTAATTGAAATAGAATTTAGGCTATTTAGTGAAAACATCCTTATTTAGTTAAGAAGAGAACTAATATTCAAAGATGTTCAGACAGTTGGATGCTTCACGATTAGTTATCTTCCAATTTGCCCTCAACCACCAAACAACAACGAAATGTTCAGTCAATCGGTCAGTCGGTTGGTCAGCAACCCAACTTGAAAATGCAGCGGCAC